TTAAAAAGGCCAAAATTAGGAAATTTGGCCTGAAAAAGGCCCAACTGGCAACCCTGATCTATAACCTCACCATTTGAAGATTCACACAAAAGAACAATCATGTTTGTATTCATTCCATTATTAAACAAATGCTCCTGAATCCGAAATCAAGTGACATTTATCGTCGAGAGACAGCAAAATAATGGTGAAAAGCCTGGCAAATTTCCTGATGTTTTGTTGAAGTTATCAGTACATACAAGGGGAAAGCCTGTCTATGATCAGTACCTGGATGGTCACTAACTTTGTACTCGTAAAGTATTCTTAAAGTGAAAAGTTAACTTGCTGGAATTACTTGCATTTGTACTTTATGCATTTTTAAATTTATATTTTGAGTAAACTTTATTTAAATTGTAACCTTTTTTATGTTATTTTGGGTAGAACAAGTGGTTACTTTACCTTGCTGAAATAGTGGAAATTTTTTCCTGGTCTCTCCTGAAATGGATGGGCTTTAAGGTCTCAGCCAAAACTTTCCTATATATGTGTTGATATAAACTTATTCTGAATAGGCCTAAAATGACATGGACTAAAGATCATGATGTGCTGCTTTGCCGTGAAAATCTGGCAGAGGAGCCTTATCAATATAAGGCTCCTGGGACAAAATTGCAGATGCATTAAATTGAGTAGAAAGGCCAAAGCTCATTGTTCATCAAAGAGCTGTTAGGGACAGATTTGTAAAATTAGAAAGGGGGTTTAGAAGGAAAATGAACGAAGAAATGAGGGTTAGTGGGGTAGCACCAGAACCCAGTGAGCTAGATGAAGCAATGGAGGATATTTTGGAAAGAAAAGACAGTGCAGAGCAGCAGCAAGCAAAGTGTGATGATGGTAAGAGACAGGCAACAGGGGCAGAGAAAGAAATGGCACAAGCTGCGAGGAAAAGGGTTATGGAGAGTCTCTCAAAAACTAAGGCAAGATAATGTTCTTAGAGGAAAAAGGGTGGTGAGACAAGTGAGTATGTTGGGTACCTGAGAGAGAAACGCGACTCGAACAAACTTAGAGAGAGTGAAGTTAATTTCGAAAGAAAGAAAGTTGAAATAAAGGAAAGAAATTTGGACCAAGAAACTGAGTTGAGAAAGAGAGAACTTGAGTTGAGGGTGAGGCGGATAAGCCAAGAATTGAAAGTCAGGGAGCATGAACAATTTGAAAAGAGGTTTCAAGTGTATGAGGAACAGCAAAAGATGATGCATGCTCGAATAAAAAATAAATTGACAATTATTTAGGAACAAAATTAAACTATTTAAAAATATCATAAAAATTTGAAAATAATATTGCTTGCTGATATTTGCTTAATTGTATTGAAAAAGTCTTTATATGTGTTGAATTTTTTTTATACTAAACTCTTTGCTGTCTCATTTCATAGACAAATATTGGGTAATTGATCTCAAATCTGAACTCTGTAGAAATACAAATGTTTGGGTATCTCCTGGTGTTCTTGTTTGGCTTCTTCAGAAAACTAAATAAAAACATAAAATAGTTAAGACATTGCACTAAATGACACTGTAAATGAACAAATATAGGAGTTTTGTCAAATTCAATTCCTATAGGCCATATCTCACTTCTGACACAAGAACCAATGGCCTGTAATCAGTGGCGAAGCTAAAGGTCCTGCTGGTCTTGATGAGCAGGACCAACAATTTCCAAAAATAAGTTTTTTTACTGAAAAATTTTTTTTTCTCAAAGTAAATCAAGCCCCAAATGACCCTGTTTACAGCACGAGCCAACAGGTATACCATACTTACATGGTCCTGCTCTATACTAGGGCGGCCCTGTATTTTGGTTCTGCTCATAAGTATGATACCCTATGTTTGGTCCTGCTTCACAATAGGCTTTTGTAAATTTGGTCCTGCTTCACAATAGTCCAGAATAAAGAGCAGTCCTGCTCAATCTGGTAAGCAGGACCTTGCCAGAACAATAATCATAACATTAAAGACTTGCCTACGTAGACCTAACAGCATTGTTTTGAAAACCTTTGGTCCTGCTATTTCTGAGAGCAGAACCTGCTCTTTCTAAAGACCCTGTAGCGTCTGGTAAAGACTCACTCTGAATTTGAGTCCGACTAGACTGCTATTTTATAAGAATATCGAGTTAATATATCACAGATTTTGAATTTTGATAAATAATCACAGCGCAACTTCTTGCAAAACTAGATCTTGGCAATAGAGATCTCGTTTCTCAGTTGCTCAAAAAGCCGTTTGCGTAAGGAACCTGGCTGAGCAAAAACTCATCGAGCAGCAACCACGTCCAGTTCCTAACTGAAAGATTAAAACTAAGGACCAGAATTCTTCAATTTGATTGGTATGCTAAGAAAGTCTGGCTTTGTGGGAGTGAGGATGAGAAAGGACTCTTCTGCTGGCCCTGTTTGTTGTTTAAGCCAGTATGTCTCAGACCTGGACAGAAATTGGGTATTCTAACATGCACAGCTTCCTCTCTGACTGTAAAAAGCATGTCAAAGCAAAGACACACCTGGAGGCCTACAAGACATGGAAAACATTCAATGTAACAGAGAGAATAGATGCTGTTTTTTTGAGAGCAAGACGAGAGGAGATCGCCACAACAAAGAAGTCTAACAGAACAGGAAGATGCTGAAAATTCTCATCAAAGCGGTTCCTTCTTTTAGGGAAGCAAGAGTTATCTTTCAGAGCACATGATGAATCCGACACTACCTTGAATAAAGGCAATAACAGAAAGCTTTTGTAATGTTTTGCAAAATTTGAGTCGGTTTTTGAACGTCATGGAAAGCTAGCTAATGAGGAAAGAGGCAATGTTGGAGTTTTTACAGGTGTTTCAGCTGATACTTAAAATGATCTGATGAATGCATAGATCCTGTGATTCAAGATGAAATTGATAAGGAGATTTCTCAGTCTTCGTTTTTATGCATCCATGTTGATGAAACAACAGATGTATGCACAAGGGAACAACTAGTGTCATTTTTCGTTTTGACAAGAAGGGTGAGATTGTTGAAAGGTTTTTTTAAAGTTCTGTTGTGTTAGTTCCAAAAGATCTGCATCTGCCAGTATTACTATTAAAGAAATTTCGCAGAAAAATGGCAAATCAATGAAGGAAAAATTAATTACCCAGACCTATGATGGTGTTTCTGTAAAGCCTGGTTTCCACTGGGCGATTGTCGCGATAAAGGCGACAACTTCAACAGAATTTTCGCTTTTATCGCGATAATCGTGATAATCGGCCAGTGGAAACATGAAATCTTGTAAAACAATCGTGCTTACCGCGCCGCGATTAACGCGACAGAATATCAAAATTTTTTGATATTCTGTCGCGTTAATCGCCCTTAGCGCCAAAATTGACGTCATTGGAATCAATTTCGAAAGGCATACCTCGATCACCATGACAACGTTCACGTCAAGGAAAGAGTCTTGGCATGACTGGGAAGTTTCAAGGGGCGAATCGTTTTTTGCAATAAATTATTTGAAAAACTCTTCTTGCCAAAACTAAAAAACCAAGTAACGTAGCTTGCCAAAATGGATTTCGACGGTATTCAACGAGACGAACAGCTAGCAGAGGCAGTTAGACAGTACCCATGTCTTTACGACAAAAGAAAGAAGGATTACAAAGATAAAAATGTCGTTGCTAACGCATGGAGAAAAGTTGCAGGAGCAACAGGGATGGAGAGCGGTAAATACTAATATCATATTTTTATCCTTCCCATATTTAAGAAATTTTTTTTACTTAAAGGATTAACATTTTTTCGTCAGAACACGATACGATACTGAAACTCACACTGAAATGCTTGAAAATTTCATTTTAATATAAAATAATTTTTTTCACAACCATTGTTATTTACTGATGTCTTGTGTTGGAGACTTACCAGAATAAGCTAGGGTCTGGGCTTATTTCCAAAGGGTGTTAAAGGGGGTGGATGCTTGCAGTACAAGTCTATTAGAAATTTGTTCTTGTTTTGTAGATCTGAACACTTAACCATTTTCAACGCTGGTAATTTGAAAATCGTTTAGTCTTATTCCACATTTCCATACATACTTTGATTGTCGTAAAAAATATTTTAGGAGAGGAAGCAAAGAAGCTTTTCGATAATTTAAAGAAGAGGTACAGCAAGAAAAGGAACGAAATGAGGAAGGTTGAGAGGTCTGGCACATCGACCAGTGCAGTTGCTGTAGCGAAGGAGAAGCTGGACCAATATAGATTTTTGGTATGGCTTCAACCTTTTATACAGGCCAGAAGTTCAAAAACAAACTTGCCCCCTAGAAATGTGGCTTCATTTCCGAAATCTCCAGCCACTCCGAGTGAAGCCAGTGAAATTTTTGAGGAAGGGACTGCTGAAACGTTCGGCGGTGACGACGATGACAACGACGATTATGATGATGATAATGGTAATGAAATTTCAGAGGAAGGGCAAAACATTGATGAGACGTCCGTTTCTGAACCGCTTGGTGAAGAAGTAAACAACGACTTTCCTGCCAGAACTCCAGCTAAAAAATTCAAATCCAGGAAGAGTGAGATATCTGCTGTAACAGGCAAAACAAAATGGCAGAAAAAAGGGATGGACATTGAGAACATGGAGCTGCAGTTCCTTGAGACCGTCCGAAAAGCAGTTGAAGAGCCTAGGACAGAAGCCCAAAGTACAGTCAATGACTCAAACTACCATTTTGCAATGATGGTGTACTCAGAAATTAATAAATTCACCCCCCGAAATCAGTATATTGCTCGACATCAAATACAAAATATTATATTTGATATACAAATGCAAGAGCAGCAACAGCAATCGTTCATGCGCCAACCAGCATGGAATGCACCTCCACCCGATCAGCCTGTTGTATCAGCACTTGGAAATACAAGTGAGAGAAATCGGAACGTTGCTATAGAGCCAAATCAGAACATGTTTTTTACTCAATAGGAATTACTTTTAAAAAAAATTATTTGCTCAGTTATAAAATTTTGCTCATTAATAAAATGTCAAAAAATCAATTATAAGAACATGTTATGCGAGTTTATTTGTCACCAGTTCTTTGAATGTAAGCTAATTGCCATGGTACAGAGCCAGCTTCGCTGCACAAATATTGCTTCAAAGCATTCCTTATGGCTGTTGCATTTGCAGTATGGCGGGACCCTCTAACTCTTTGAATGTTTTGCAATCCCATTCCATCAGATGCCAATCTTCGCCATTCTCCCGGTAGAATTTGGCCACTGCTATCTTCGGAGTCGACAAAACCATTCGGACAATAGACAGCATTTTCTGTTTGGCGCAAATAATTATGCAGACAAACAGCAGCCAAAACATAGCGGACAACATTTTCACGAGAAGCTCTAATTGGCCCTCTGAATAGTCTCCATCTTGCGACCATAATACCAAAAGTATTCTCTATAACACGTCGAGCTCTCGAAAGCCTATAATTGAAAATTCTTTGATCTTCATTTAAGGAGCCAGGGTAAGGACGCATCAACCAATCTTTCAAAGGAAAAATTTCGTCACCAACAAGATAATATGGCATGGGACCTAAAGTGTATCCATTGACTCCGGTTGCTTGAGGAATACCTAAAGAGCCCTCTTCAAATCTTTGCCCCATTTCAGAATTCAGCAACACACCACTATCATTGTTACTACCATGTTGTCCAACGTCAAATATGGTAAAATTGTATCTTGCGTCGCATATGGCTAAGAGAGAAATACTAAAAAACCCCTTGTAGTTGTGGTCTTGACTTCCTGAATTTTTTGGACAATCTATTGCAATATGCTTGCCGTCAATAGCACCAATGACATGCGGCATGTTCCATAGTTTTTCAAAGTCTTGACTAATGTGTTCCCAGTCTTCTGTTTTTTGGGGTGGCCTCAAATAAATTGGGGACAAGACTTTATAAATGGCATCAGCTGTTTCTCGTACAATATTGCTAACTGTTGCACGACCAACTCTAAATGAATAGCTGAGATTTTGCTGCGGACAGCCAGTGGCTAGATATCGTAAGGTTAAAACCAATTTTTCCCGTGTGCTGATAGCCTTTCGAAAATGTGTATCTTTCTTCTTTATTTCCTTTTCAAGCAGACTATGCAAGTGATCGAACCTTTCCAATGAAATCCGCAAGTATCTAAAAAAAGCATATTAAGATTTATTACACACTACCATAAATTAACACATAATTATGTTGTTACAAGTTCGGAAACCTTTGCGTTAAGTGGAAAGTCAAGCTTTACGTATAAATAGACTACTTATACCTGAAGTGATATTCTCTGTCGGCCATGCGAAGTTCTTGGTATAAGCTATAATACTCGCTTGATTCTTTAGCTTTGAAAATCTTTCTGATCCAAAACTTGTGCTTTCTCTTTTGGTTCCTCTCGTGCCTCTTTCTTTTTGCTCTTAAAACGTAAACAGCGCCGATCACTGCAATGAGCTGCTTTCTTGTAAAGGGCGCCATGTTGATTGTGCAGTAGAAACTGCCATCACAAAAATGAATTTAATCGCGATATTCGCGTTTGTCGCCCCAATCGCGTTAATCGTGGCGCGACAATCACGATTAAATTATGTTTCCACTAGACGATTGTCACGATAAAAGCGAAAATTCTGTTGAAGTTGTCGCCTTTATCGCGACAATCGCCCAGTGGAAACCAGGCTTAATGTCTCGCCAAATTTCTGGCATTCAAACCCTTCTTCGCAAAGACCTTTATTTTGCATACTTTTTTCACTGTGCTGCACATAGACTGAATCTTGTTTTATGTCAGTCTGCATCTAGCATGCCTTTGGTTAAGGTTTTCTTTGCAAATTAGTGCATTTAGCAATTTTACAATTTGAAGCCCTGGTGGGTCAAGATGGTATCATCACTCTCGCACTGTAAAAGTTATTTTTGAAAAGTTTGATATTCTTGTTGATGCTTTAGAGGAAATAACTGACAATCCAAAGATCTGGGATGATACTGCCCTCACCCAAGCTTGTGGGCTACTGCAGTATTTGAATAGTTTTGTTTTCTGTTTCTCCATTTGCCTCATTCACAAGATTCTAGAACAGTCTTCAATTCTTTATATGATTCTTCAAAACACAAAAACAGACTTCAGCTATGGGTTTGGAACGATAGCAGAGTTTCCAGCATATCTCTCTGACATGTGCAATGATAATACCTAAAGAGAATCTTATGATTCAGTGGTTAATAAGATTGGTGAACCATCATCAAGATCTGAAAGAAAGCACAATTATAGGCAGCTTTATTTTGAAGCTCTGATAATATTACTAATATGCCAACTGAACGCTTTGAAGATTGCCAGAGCTTCGAGTTCCTTGATCTTTTTAATCCCAATTTTTTCTCTCAACGGAAAAATAAAGTCCCTGCAACCAAATTGGAAATGCTGAAATCAAAGTATGGGCCTCTCTTCAATATTACAAATCTTGAAAGTCAATTGATTTTTAGTTACAAGGATACAGACTTCCACAAAGAAAGTCAAGTGGAACTGTTGCAGTTTATCTACAATTTCAATTTAGAAGCAAGTATTCCAGAAGTAGTAAAAGTATTAAAATTAAATGCTTCAATTGCAGTATCCCGTGCCTCAGTTGAACGCTCATTTTCATGTTTGAAGAGAGTCAAAACTCACCCGAGGAATACAATGGGACAAAAACAACTTAGATCTTGGTGTAATATCAGTACACACACAAATATATTAAAACTGCTTGAAGATCAAAATTTGTTCATTGACTTAGTTATTGAAAAGTTTATTAAGAAACCAAGAAGACTAAATTTTTATTACAAATAAACTTTTAATCTGAAAAATGTGCAGGAAGAAATATCGACACTGCTTGAAAGATGATGAAAATCTATGTTGAGAGTTATGTTGCCAAGTGCTTGATGCCATTTAGACAAAACTGCAGATGCCTTTGGTTTCTAGAACAGGATGGGTGGACTGCCAGCCCACATAACGCCAAGCCAGTGGACCGCAAGCCCCCCCCCCAACCCGAGCTGCAAATTAGCAAAGACCAAACTAATGCCATCCCCAACACACAAAATCCCCTCTCACACAAAACCCCCAACACACACGACCTGCCCCCCTCAGAGGCGTGCCGCCCACTGGGGCGTGTCTCCAATCCAAAAGAGGCTCCCACCAAAAAGAGGCGGGTGCGACCAAAAAGAGGATTGTAGTCTATTTAAATAAAATGTCGGAACTTATGACATTTGCTTTGCGGTAATTTGCGAAAGAGTGTAGCATCTAGAAATATTTTAAATGTTCAAAATATATCAATTGTAGTACATATTGCCAGAGATATGACTACATATATACTGGCTCCTTTTTCATCAAACCTCTGTATTTGGGTCTTTGCACTTAAGCTTGTGATTTGTAAGTATTTTTCTTCATGAAGGCTTTTTATTTTTTAATTTGATGAGTGATTTGGAGAGCTTTATTGTTGATGATTTCGCGAATATTTTATGGTTTAATAAAACTTATATGCTATAGCAGTTTCCAATTTCCTAATACAGGAGGGAGAATTTTGGTTACTTGTATCGCCGCTATGTTTCTTTCAAAGAGTGTTTGCAGTAGCTTTGGAAATTGGTAGTGAGTTTAAAAATGCCCATTAAGAAAGGCTGTCCCTTTTGATCGAAAAAACTGAATAAGTTATAATGCAGTAACTTTTTTGAATATAAAACAATCAGTGTTTCATGTGGACGTATGGGTCGCGCATGTGTTCTTTGATGCATCTAAGCTGTACCCTAACAAAACTACAGGATACTGGATATATTAGACCCATTAAAATTTAAATCACGTGATTTCACTGTTGCTAGGTGGTGTTAATATCAGCTCGGGCGTTTCTGCCTCGTTTTGACATTTCAATACCAATGGACGAGGCCTTCAAATTTTGCAAAGCAAGACTTGTTTTTTGGTTGCCCCCGACCTCGATTTTATATGCATAGGCTAAAAGTTCGATATGTTCACGAAGAGGCATCCAACGAAGTCATTTATTTATTCACTCTTCACCCCCTCAAAATTTGAAAATAATTGAATCTTTATATGGATTTTCCTTAATATCTGTGTCTAAATATTCATATTGCCGAAATAGAATATATATAGTTCCACAAATGTTTCATTTTTGAGGACTTTAAATCATGCTATAAAACCTGGCTGATAATAAACTATCCTAACTCGTGTTCAATGGCAGATTTTTAGCAGAGAAACAAATATGTACTTAATGATCATAATAATCATCAAAATGTTTGCTAGGTTAAAATAATTTATTGGTAAAAATACATAAATTAAATTTCAAATTGACGGTCTTATTTTCTTTTTTTTCTTCCTGTTTTTTCCTGTTAATAATCCGTTTGTGGATTTCATCACCTGGCCTGTGAAATGAAAAAAAATTTGTTAGAAATTTGCGGCAAGGAAGGAGCGTGTAGGCACAGCAGTTAACATTTATGTCAATTTCATTATGCTTGCAAGGAAGAGAAAAAGAATAGACTCAACCTATTGGTACCTTATCTGTCGAACAGGGCGCCCTGCTGCTGTTACAAGGCGAAACCTTGTTGGGCGCATCACTTATGAAAGTGTTGATTATCTCTATTCAGCGCTATTTATTTAAACGGTTGTTTCAAAAAAGTTAATCTTCAATTTCAGTTTAAAGCGCAGGTAGTTTTTGCCTTAAAAATATTTCTTTCTTGCCTCTGATTAGCAATTTATTTACTTGTTAGCACTTTCACACTTACACTATGCTACATGTCTTTTCAAAAGATTCTTTAAGTTTGAGAAACAGGCAAACAAAAACAGGACCTTGATTCGAAAGTGAATACTTCTACAATTTTTTGTCCTGTGGTCAATAGATTGATATTTAAGTTTTAATTGAAACCTAGGAACGATAAAGTCAAGTATTTATTGTTAAAAATATACAAAGTGGCAAAAAATTTTGGAATCTGCTAGAGCTTTTGATTTTTTTTACATATTTTGGTACCCAAAAGGATTGATCATTACCCTTTAAATATTCTACAGCAGGAATGCATCCTATGGTAAAGATAACAAATTTTCCTGTTTAGAATTTAAATAATAGCTGGTGCGATTACAGGGCTGTCTGATAAAAGATATATTATGGAACTGGTGGAGAATCTAGAAAAGAAAATCTACGAAAAAATTCAAGACAAAATTTATAAAGTCGTAAAACCACACTGCAATAAGATAGAAATGTTAGAACGAGAAATTGCAGGATATGATGCCCACTTTGCAGAATCACAGCGGCGACTTGAAGAAACTGAAAGTAAAATCAACAATGCAGAGAAATACAGCAGAAGAGCCTGTTTGAGAATTTATGGCATAAAAAACATCTGATTCCAAAACTGCAGAACAATGCGAAACAAAAGTGAAGGATCTCTTTAATGAAATTGGGGTAATGGTCCCTGATGATATGCTTGATAGGGCTGGAGAGAAATCAAAACACCTGGTGTAGTCGAGCAGGCCATATGGTTAAGTTTGTTTCCTGGAGATATAGAACTGCTGTGTACAAAGCTCGCAAAAAGTCAAAAGATAAAGTAATACAATTAGACCTTACAGCTAGATAGGCGAAGCTATTAGGCATTGCCAAGGAGAGAGTCAAAGCCCTCTGAGACATCAATTTTGTTTATGCTGACGTCAACTGTCAAATAGGGATGAGAACCATGAGAGGTAAATTCTTCCCATTTAAAAGCTTGGACGAACATGATAAACTGATAAGCGAAGATGGTTTAGTATAAATTATATGCTAATAGTTAACATCTCAGTGGCTGATTATTTTCAACCTTAAAATTTTTGTGTTCATCAAAGTTCATTTTTCTAAATTTTCCAGCAAATTTTCTAGGTTGTAAAAATTGTAAAATGACCGCAAAATGTGCTCACATTACTATATTAAATTATCAATTTGGCCTTATAAACCAAATCAAATGACAAATAATAATAATAATAATAACAATGCACTTATAGAGCGCTAAAATCTTTATACATATATTCTAAAGCGCTGAACAGTGTTAAAAAACCTAAATTTACAGAAAGTAAAGCCAGAAATGTCATTCACATGTTAAAATAATTATGAAATAAATACGTTTTTAATCCTGTTTTGAAAGTTTGGACGCTCCGAGATCTTCTAATTTCAATGGGCAGTTTGTTCAAGAGCCTAGAGGCTGCAGTACAAAATGCTCTGTCGCCACGAGATGCAAATTTTGTCTTTGGAACTAGCAATGCCATAGATTTATCTGACCTCAGTCTGTATCTATCACTGGTTTGTAGCCTCGACATATCTTTCAGGTAGGCTGGAGCCATGTTGTTAGGTGCCTTGAATGTTAATAACAAAATCTTGAGGTCAATCCTTTCTTTTACCGACAGCCAATGCAGTTCTGATTTTATTCAATTGATGTTTAGAACCAATAATAAGAAACTCTGTTTTTGAATCATTAATCTTTAGCTTGTTCACTAGCATCTATTTTCTAACTTCGTTCACACAATTCTGTATTGCATGCAGTGCTTCTTCTTGTGATGTTTGATTGACTGGTTTGAAAGACAAATATATCTGGTGGTCATCAGCATAACCGTCAGCGTTTGGAAGGTGCTGCTCAATTACATTAAACAAAGTACTGGCCTAAAAAAGAAACAAGATGGGACCCAAGCAGGAACCTTGGGGCACCCCATATTTGAGCTTTTCTCTATCTGATACTATATTATTTACAGTAACGTAGCCCTAAAAAATTTACCATACTTTTACTATTTGATATCGCTTTAAATCCTTCATATTTTTCTAGCCGAATTCCTCTTGTCCTCTTGAGTAAAGAAAGTTTCTAAGGAAAACAATACTTTGTTCTCCTGAGTAAAGCTAGTTTTGAGTGAAGCGACTTCAAAAGAAGCATCAAGTTTGCCTGAAGTACAGATTGAACGTCATTCACTACATTTCTCCTTTGAATTCAAAAGCCCCAACGACCATTGAACTTCATCCCAAACGATTAAGTAAAATACCCAACCCCCTTCACGATAGAGATTGTGTCATAGAGCTTGTGTTAGAAATGCTTTGTTTTTTATTTCTTCTGCTTTTGAGTACAAATAGCTTTTGTTTGATGTTTGTTTATTGAATTCCAATGAATCGACACAACAATATAGTGATTCACAAATTTGGCCAAAGAGATCTTTCTTGCATGGTCGCATGCCTATAGAACTCATGGGCTGGTGTGCAGGAGTTGCATCTGGAAATAGCTTCCTTTTGTACCCCTGTTCTTCGCTTCTCTACACAGCCTTGAAAACATGAGGCTATATGTATCTTTTCATCTGGATACCCTCCGTCCCTGTTCCAGTCTTTATTTATTCTCTTTCAACCTGTCTTTACTCACTTCCTCCTGTCTGTACTCCAGATCCACAAAGTGTTAAAAATTTTTTTAAAAGACTTCTCTTGATTTTTCTCGCTAATATTTGTTTCTTATACACCTTCCTCTCCAGGATGACTATGAAAAAGGCCAAGCTACTTATAAACTTCTTTGCTCACCAAAAGAAACTTCTTTTTTATATCCAACTTTCGGATGTACTATCTGCTGATTGTAGAACTTTTAAATTACATTTTCAGAAATTAAAGTTCCGCCCTCGTATACTACATTCATTGGGTGGAGATATAGAAACAAATCCAGGCCTTGAAAGCAATGGCTGCCTTGAATTTTGTCATTGGAACTTAAACAGCATTTGTGCTAGGGGAGGCATATAATTTCAATTCGCCATTTTGATCTCTTTGCAGTGTCTGAATCTATGTTAACTAATGACATAAAAAATGAGAATATTTCTATAGAGAGATTCCGCAAAAATAAATATCGAAATGATCATCCAAGCAATTCTAAAACCGGGGGTGTCTGTGATCATTTTTGAGAAAACTTGTCTGGAGTGATCGAAGGTGAAGGTAATGGCGAAAAACAAAGGTTAGAGAGGGAAATTTGCATTGAAATAACAAAGCATCAAGTATGCTTATTGTGACTGCCCACGAGGAAAAATTGATCTGCAGCCATATGGCAGCTGTATCTTTAAATGCGAACAAGAAGGGGTTATCTAAAACAGATTTACCAAATTCACGGATTGCACGACCAAAAAAGGCTGCTAAACAAAATGTGAGGACCCTTTCTGACTTGTTTCCCCAAAGCAAACCTGAGTATAGGGCCACTTCCAGAAAAGTTGAAGCCAGAGATAAACAAATGCTTTTTGAGAGTCTGGCAAAGTCAACCCCTTGCCCATTACTGTGGATTGTTGGGCCAGAACCCCCTGCAACATCAACACTGGACACTTGTGTTTCTGAACCCGGAACTGTTGAAAGCATCCTGGATGTCTTCAAAAAAGATCAGCAACAGTTTATTGAGAGATGCCATGTTACCTCTGATCAAATTGAATGGCTTGCAGAGCAAACAAAAGAACAACAAAAGTCATTGTTATGGGGCAAACATAGGCAGTTTCGCCTAACAGGCAGCAATTTTGGTGCCTGTTAGGCGGTCTGTATAAGGTCTGGCTGTTAACTGGCAGCAGTTAACAGCCAGACCTTATCCCCCATCATTATTCAAATCATTGATGGGGGAGTATAACCTTGCAGGGAAAGACTCAATATTATGGGGACAAATGCACGAAGAGAGGGCCATTAAAGAGTACATCAGACAAACAGGCAACTCTGTTAAGGGTGTTGGTTTGATTTTGCTCCCTTGTGGTTTCCTTGGATGCTCTCCAGATGGGATTATAACTGTAGCTGGGGCAGCAAATGAAGAGCATGGTGTCCTGGAAGTCAAATGCCCTTGGAGACACAGAAACAGAAATTTTGATGCTGCAAGATGAACTGAAAGGCCAAGAGACTGCTGCTTCTTTCTTCGTAACAAAGAAAGGAGAATTAAAGGAGACACATAATTACTGGCATCAAGTACAGGGAGAAATGGTAGCTGCCAATGTATCATGGGCACATTTTCTAATTTGGACAACCAAAGAGCTTAAAGTAATTTATGTCAGTAGGGACAATGGCTAGGCAGAAACAAACATACCCAAGCTAACAGACTTTTATATTAGAGAGTTTTTGCCAAGATGCATTGAAAACAAGTCTTAGAAATATTCTCATGTTTTTTATGCAAATATTTTAACTTAACACTAATTGCACATTTTCTAAACAAATATAAATGCTCTAGATATTTCCTATCACAAATTACTGTTTGAATTTATTAGGGGCAAACTGCTAGTATTCAAACACAACTTAAATCTTGTGACAACAGCTAATTTGAAAGCTTGGATAATGAATTCTTACAGTTTGATACAACTTATCCTCATGTTGCTATGAAGATTTATTTGTTATTAGTAACTTGCACAGAAATAACACTAATATTCTGATTAAATAGCACACAAATTTTGATAAGACTGATCTTGCACCACTATTTTTTATCAATTAAATGAACATACTTATCTAAAATACCACTATTTAGTGGACTTTGTAAATTAACCAAAGCAGAACATACTTGGACTATTTTATTACAGAAAGGCCTGAACTTACAAGAAATTAAGTTAAGTATTTTATAGTTTCTCATTCTTCCAATTGCTCTTTCCACCTGGATCCGCGAGCTTGCAATTTTCTTGCAAAAAGTGCTTCTTCCTTTGTAAATTGGGATTTGCCTGACAAGAACGGAGGTAGATTTAAAAACACATCTTTTGGAATTAGGTCATGGATCATAAATCCTTTGTCGGCTAAAATGAGGTCTCCAGCCTGTAATTAAAAATAGATTGGCTTCATTATTTGATTTGCATTTTCTTGTGCACTTCACATTTATAAAATCTGAATGGCAATTCTGAGAATAAACACATAAAGAGCATATATATCAAATTTGGAGTGAAAATCATTTCAACTAATGGATGTTGTATTTTGCCATTTTCTTGTAATTATAGTTTCATTTTGAGTGTTTTTGTACTATTAAAATTTGATAATGATTGATTATATATTTCTAACTATTGGTAGCAGATGCTAAAAGATGGGCCAAATATAAACTTAGATGAATTATTCAGGGTTGCCAGATTTGCATGATGGGAATAGCGCCAAATTGTTGAAAAATAAGCCAGATTGGTTAAAAAAAAGCCAAAATAGTTCTCCTCCGCAGAAACAGCTCATTTATGGGCAGTAAGCAATAAGGAATTAAATTATGGCCAATCTAATCACTTTTCTAACCAATTATACCAAGCAAAAGCAACAAAATAAAGAAAAATGCTTAAAAGTTGTCCAAAATAGTAATATAATCGTCTTCATCTTCCTTATTAGTTGAATACATAATGTCTGACTTGAACAATGAGACCATTTTCTCAGTCACTTCAAAGTCTCTGCAGCATTTCTCCCCAAAATGTAGATTAGTGCCGATGCGCAGTATTGCTTCTAGCATTTCAATTGACATTCTGTTTCACTGCTTTGTCTTGATGTTTGTGACATAGGAGAAAATTATTTCTACTATGGCATTGCTTGTTGGTGTGGTGAGACAGGCCAGGGCATATGATGCAAGGTCTTTGAACGATTGCTCTCCCATATTGTTCTTATACATAAGTATAGCAGACCAGAAATCTACTGCTCCTTGGGGAATACCATTGCTGAAAGTCGCCTCATCATTCCAATTCACCAGGATTATTTTGCGATACTGGTTGTCTATTTCGGATATGTTTTCCGCCATCAAGTGCTGCATGGGTAATTTGAGTATGGGTACTCTTGATACTTGACTTAAAACACATGATGGTTGCAAGAAGCTAAGACCTCGAAATATCACACTTGAGTGTGGCATGCGCTGACTGAGCTGGCTTGCTGCTTCAAGGAGCATTTTATGGCATCTGGTTTTCATATCAGCTATTTTCAAACGCATGTTGTTGTCGCCTTTATGTTGCTCCCTCAATAAACTGGCTTCGAAAAGAAATTTTGCTCCAAACTGAACATCTTTAACTGGTAATTCTGTTCCAGATGATGTCATCACTCGACACTTGAAACTGTCGTAGAATAGCTTGAAATCACTCATCATATCATATGGCTCAAGGTTGGTAGCTTGAAAGAACGCGTTTACTTATTCAAACTCTCCAACGATGGGGCAAAGAAAATGGAAGTAAAGGAGATTTATCGGATCTTTCAACATATCTGATATCAAACGAGCTTTGAATCGAACCTGAGCATTTCCTTCAAGCTCTGCTTTCGAGAAGTAAGTTTTCAATTCATGCCAGTTGACTAAAATGTTATACAGAACTTTCCCTCAGTGTTTGTGACATCTTTTGGAATGGGCGGGGCATGCTTGCACTTTCTGAATTTTCGTTGATCATTTCAAACAACTTGCTGTATGCTTCACGTCTCAAAATACTTTTGGAAAACCATTTAGGGATTTCGCTAAGCATAAACCCTAAATGTGATGGCATTTGCTCAAAGGCATGCTTGATACAAAGTGCTAGTGAATGACAAATGCACTTCATCAGGATGCAATTAGGTGCAGCTATCTTCATGCGAGACCAAACTGAGTCATGCTCCTCCACCATGGCTGATGCTCCGTCACTGGCAAATCCAACAAAGTCAGTTAATTTTAGCTTTGAAGCTTCAAGACAATCTTTTGTTGCTTGAAATAAAGCTTCTCCAGTTGCATGGGTAACTGGTATCAAGCCAAGTAAAGAGGTAGTTATGTTCGGTTCTTTCTTACTAAAATAGCGGACTTCAATACACAAACATTTAATGCAGGCAACATCAGTTGATTCGTCAATCATAACACAATACTTCACACCTTCCATATCGTTACAAAGTTCTTCGAGTAATGCCGAGGAAATTTTTGATTAAAGATGTACACTTTGATCTGTGTAGCTTCATTTTCTCTAACTTTGAACCAGCTCCCTTGCTAGCTATCAACTCCCCAAGATGATCAATTGAGCTTATTGAAGTATGACAGGCAATAGCTACTGCGAATTTTAATTCCATGCTTTTTTTCTCAGCGCTATCTTTTGGACGAGGTGCAAAGAGTTTCTTGGTGCTGGAAACCGAACCTGCTGCCTTTATATGTTTGGATGTGTCTTCATGATTCTTAAGATTTGATAATCGAGGCTGGATGCTTACACGACAAAAGGAACAATATGCCATTTCAGAACCATCTGCAGCTTTTTTTACCCATGGATGTTTTCTTTGCCATTCGGGCTTGAATTTCCTTGAATCATCATAATTTCCTTTCCATTTTGTTTCTCTAGAATGCTTACTGAAAATCATTTCTAACTATCACAGTGTTTCAAGAGACTGGTGCGTGTGCTCTGAGATTTGTTTTGAAGGGTTTAGAAAGGCACCATTAATAAAGGATTTTTATTCTTTGCCGTGCCGAATTTCCCATGAATTACAGGAACAGGCTTGGCCAGACTGTTTATTTTGCATTTTAACATAATAAGATATTCGACCTTTTCGGAATAACCCGTGAATTCTTGACAATCGAAAACAATCACGCAATCTTACCAAAAAGGAAGCACGCTGCTCAAATGCATTATTATAAGCAATGCTTAATTTTTTCAAGCCAAAGCATTCTAGAAAAAGCCAAAAATGAGCAATCTGGCTTTAAAAAAGCCAATCTGGCAACCCTGGAATTATTAGAAGCAAATTCTCTAATATTCTACTGTAGGTAAGCTATCGTCCAGCCAAACAAGTTTGAAGTTACAATATTATAAATGTTGAATTGCACCCTTATCTTGAGCTAGTTCATCAAACAACCTTCTATGAGTTCCTGGATCGTAAGTACAAACCTTAAGGTTAGAAATAATGTGTGATTGGTCTGTGACAACTTTGTCACTAGTGCTTCCTGGGTAGCCATCACTGACAAATGTGATTGATCCATTAGGAGTAACTCCAATGAGGTACTTTGCAGTTAGTCTATGTTTGTAGTTACTGTAGCTTGTTGCAGCTGCCTCCAAATTTTTCCTTGGAGTTTCAATTTGAAACTCGGTGCAGTCAATTATAATCCTGCAATTCGGTATGTCCTTGAATGATTCAGGCCTGCTACATCGGTTTTTGGCTATTGAAGGCCATTGGTCCAAACATCCAATGAAAATTAGTTCATGTAAGACATTTAAGTAGGTAAGAAAAATGTTTTGGATTGTTGTTTGGCTAACTGAAAATCAATCGTTTGGCTAAATCAAAATAAGGGAGATCTAGCTTCATTTTCATCAGAAAAATAAGTAGCTGGTCTGATGAACTAAGGGAATTCACTGTTTTTCCACTCCAGTAGGTCAATGGCTGAAAAGACTCGATCATTTCCACAACTGCCAAAAATTTTGATGATTCCAAACCAGTGTAGTTTCTGATTTCATCATTGGTTAGAGTAGAAAAATTGAAAATTCTCGGCTTTAATCTTTCAATCTCTGCTCTCGCATCTGTGAGCTTCATTTGGAGCTGTTCAACTTCTTGAAAAGGGTCTTTCTCTGTGGTTGTTGGAGGGTCCACTTCATCGGCATTTTGCTCCATGCTTGGAAGTTCTTCGCCTTCAGATGCCGGTTCTGATGATCTTGCGCAGTGTGACGTAAAAAACGTACGTGAAGATATCCTTTGGTCACCTTCAGTTCCCCTCAAATTCCACATAGGTATGGCGCCTTTCTTCAAAGATTTTTTTTGAAACTGAAGAGGGGTATTTGGATTCCCCTTGCTAAAGTCTTCTTCTCCGAAGTGAAATGAACATACGTACGATGATGCACTGGGCACAAAATCTTCCCTGCGAATCTTTTTCACCCACGTCTCCCTTAGTTTTGGATCTTTCGGAATCTGATGAAATGAACTATCTTTGTTAGTCGCTGCTGTAGCAGAGCATTGGTAAACTGCACAACTTTTTGGCATCTTGGAGTGACTTGCGATTTATGGCCTAAACACTCGACGAAACAAAATTTGCGTCTTTCGCAATATAAATTGTACTTTAACGAAAACTAAGCAGTGTTTTCACTAACGATGAAACAAAACAAAGTTGGGTAGGTATGAATAACCTTCACAGGACGAAGAAACTTTACAAAGAGTAATCCGGGAAGTAAACACTCCTGCTCGATTGGTTGCCACCCCGTTGTCAAGGGCTGCCCCAATTGACCAATCAGGCGCGACTTTGATTTAAAGCCGTATAGGCAACATCGAGGAACATGCAAAAGAGTGAGTGTCATTTAGTTATGCTGTCATTAAGAGAGAGCAATTCAAAGAGGTCATCAAAGTTTCTGAAGCTATTGATCAAAAGAGCCAAAAGAACACAAACAATGTTCTGTTGAGGGGGAGGACATAATTAATATGTTGGAATGGCAAAAATGCCAAGTTTGAAAGCCAAAGTGATTACAGTATATGCGACATCAAGCTTTTTCCGCTCATCCTACAGTCAGTGGGTGCACATCTAAGATAAGTCCCCAATTCAGGTATATTATGAGTTCTGTGAAAACCTGGTGTTTGTGTTTAACGAGAAACGTTAGGAAATCAAGGGAGAGGATTTTGCAATTGAATTGTGTGTCATCTTGTCTGTTATGCTGATGATTTAGGCTCGGAGTAAAGATGGAAAGCCTTCAGGAAAAGCTCCCTTGAGATTTTCGTGAGACATGGAACATATTCTTGATGCCTTGCTTTTTTATCCTGAAACATGAATTGAGGAGGAACTATCCCCTAAACTCAACAAACATTAGGGAGAGTGGACTGCGGGCTCAACTTATTCATCATTTAATGATGTACCAGTTATTCAAGGTAATCTTGATGCTTAAAGCAAGAATTTAAACTTGCAGTACCATTCTTTTTGTCTTCCTTTTTTCATGATCATGTCAATATGTTGATCACTTGTTTTGGTTGCTCTTTTACCAGTCACCTTGTTCACCTTTTTAGATTTCTTGACTTTTTTTTATTTCTCCTCGATATATTGCATGGGATTTTCATTTTTTATTACAGAATTTAACAGGTAACTTTGGCCCAATTGCAAGTTGAGCCACTTCTGTCGTTTACAACAATTCAAGCTTACAACAATTCTATATCAGGGTGGGTGAAACCAAGGGGCACTTTTGGGAAGGTTTTCTTGGAAGATGGCAACAGAAATCGACAAGAGGCCTTGTTTGACCATCTGGAGGGTCTAGAAACAAGTGCACTTGCTTCTAGACCTCCAAGATGCGTCTTTATGAGGCTCGTCCGGAATCATAAACAGTTTAATGGCACTTTTGGAACCTACTTTCAAGGGTATGACAAACATTCCGCATTTCCTTATGTGAAGTGAAAAATACTGCAATCCCCTTAATCTTTCTTTGACGGTATTCAAAAACATCCATTGAACATAGTATTGGGCTTGAAAGGGTCTTTGTGGGCTGGCTCTACACGCAAGCCCAAAAAGATTGCCTTCTTATCCATCACAGAGGATTTCCATTCAATTTGGCAAAATGGTCAAATACATGAAACTGCAGAGTCCTCTTTGTGCCTTTAAATGTTCACAAATTTTTTGTTTTATTTACAGTGCAGAAACATTTCAGGCTTTATTCTGGGCTACCTGACTATCAGACATTCCAAATTGCATTTGTTTCATTTGGGCTCAGCAGTACATTATTCATTGGCTCAGAAAAAATCCAGTAAAATTGATTCTGCTGTATATGTCAAAAGGCCCAAAAAGAAGTTTAGATGCTGTGTGCAAACCATATCCAAGTTGGCCTTCAAGATCGTCTGTCACATAAACAATGCCCAGATGCTTTGAAGATTAATACCCTTCAACTCATTCATTGTACTGAGATTTATATTAAGAAGACGTCTTAAGGCTGAAATACACGATCAGTTTTTTTCTGTCAGTTTTGCCCAAAAAATTTTTATATTTGTTTTGTTATCAGTTCAACTGAAGCCGCGCGTGTTTACACGATCAGTCAAAATTTATCAGTTTTTCAGTTTTGCTGCCTCTGCAATTATTATTGCCACAATTTCAAAACGAAAAAGGAGAAAAAAACAGTGGTCCAAATGGGTAAAACAATGGCAAAAAAAGCGTTCACTACTTGGAATGTATGATACATTGATGAGGGAATTTCGCCAACAGGAGAAGGATGAGTACAAGAAGTTTTTAAGGATGAAACCCGAAAATTTGACTGATTGACGAATTTGACTGAAAAAATTTTTGTTGACTGGTCCTAGGAACAAATGATGATATGGAGGTGGACTGAAACTGTAAATTTGTTTTGTTGTGTTGTATTAGTATGCCTAACATTCCAAATTGGGCTTGAAGTAACATTTCTTGAATTTTTAATTTTGCAAGTTCCCTGTTTCTTAGGTCAGACACAGCTTGTAAGACTACAGCCACATGTTTGTCAAAAATATCTTCTGGGTCATCTTCATTTTCCTTTTTCGAACATTTTCTTGTAATGTCATTTTTTGGGAGTGATTTTTTTGTTGAGCCATGACTTGCCACTGAGGCTGTATCCCAATTACTTTCTTCCTTTTCTTCCAAAGTAACATCCTGGTCTGCTGATTTTTCGTCACTAAAACCACCTTGTGTTGGCTCCTCTAAATCGCTTACATCTTAAAATTTAAATTTAGACACCTTCAATGGTAGAGGAATGGGAAAAATAGCACAGGAATATGAAAATTTGTGGAATTTTCCAAACTGCATCGGGTCCCTGGATGGCAAACATGTGCAGATAAAGTAGCCACAAAATTCTGGGTCCTACTACTTTAATTACAAAAACACGTTCAGTATCATACTATTTGCACTAGTTGATGCCAACTACAAATTCATTTACATGGATGTTGCTTCTAATGGAAGGATAAGTGATGGTGGAGTATTCTGCAACTCTTCCCTTGCTACTGCATTGCAGGAGAATTTTCTCAGTTTGCCTGGCCCTCATTTAATGCAGGATTGTGAAACATTGCTGCCATATGTAATTTTTGCTGACGATGCCTTCTCTCTGAAAGTCAACATGCTAAAATCGTACCCTTTCCGAGATCTTTCAAAGAATTTTAAACTACAGTTAGTGCAGGGCGAGGCAAATAGTGGAAAACGCGTTCGGTGTACTGGCAAATCGTTTTCATGTATTACTATCTTTGATTTTGCTTTCACCCGAAAACGTAGAGAAGATCATTTTGGCATGCTGTGTTCTTCACAATTTTCTCAGGGAAAAGTCACCTGGAACATATTCACCTCCTGGCAGTTTTGACACCAAATGCACAGAAGATGGGACTATAAATGAAGGAGAGTGGAGACAAGAGGGAAATGAAAGTGGCATGCGTCCTATAGATGTTTTGGAAAGTAAAAATTACACTTTGAGCGCAAAAGAGACTAGGAAAATCTTTTGTCGATATTTTAATACGGTTGGATGTGTACCCTGGCAAAAAAAGTTTATTTAAATCTTTAGTGCAACAACAGAAAAATTATTATTTTTACTTAGAAGTGTGGATATTGTATTTCTTGGTTTAATTGTATCACGGAGGAAAGATAATGATGCAAAGTAGGGCCACTTTGAAACATAAACCTCATTTGTAACAGCACCTTTTGTTGCTTTTTTTTCTTTAACCAGTTCTTTGGAATAATATGTACGCAGTGTGTTTATTTTCGATTTTACTTCATTTTCTGAAAAAAAGAAAAACCACCAGAAGTTGAATTTATCAGAAACAACTTGACCTGTCATTTGACATTTCTCTACGAGAGTTTTCAAGCTTTTCAGCTTTTCATTGCGATCCTTGTACATGCTTGACATCACGTTCCACAAGCTAAACTCTGCTTCCCAAGTGCAAATGAAAAAAACTGTTTGCTGGAAACGCTCAACCTTTTTCGTTTTCGAAGCCATGTTAAAGCTTGTTTTTACTCAGATTTATTTTAAAAAGTTTTGCTACTCGATGTTTGCCTCAAAAATATGATTGCTCACTCAAAATACGTCAGAGATAACCCGTAAATTGGTGTGATAAACACTCCTTTCCGGTTTGGATTAAAGTTTCACTGATCAGTTTCAATAAAAAGTTAAGCCTTGTCAGAGTTAAGACAGTTTTGCCTTGTCAGTCAAAAAAACCTCACATATTTTGACAGATGAGCAAAATCTGACGAAAAAACTGATCGTGTATTTCATCCTTAAATAGGATCACAGAGTGCAACCTACACAAAGAGTTGATTGGAACTGCCCCTAGTGGTGCTATGTCATTAGTTTCAGAACTTTATCCCGGCAAAATAAATGAAAGCTACTTCGAAATTTTCCAAAATTTATAAGGTACTTGAAAATGAAGACTCTGTTTGATACAGGGTTTGATATTGAAGTGGATTTACCTACCAACAGCTGTGAGCCTCAGACCTTAATAACATGTGAATAATCTGTTCCTACTTGACTCCATTCATTCAATAAAAGTAATAAGTAAGCAATATTAAGTAATAAGTAAATTATTATAAGGAAAGTAATTGATTATAATCTCTATATAGTTGATATATATCTCGGTTTAAGCAGTATATTGATCTTTGGCACATCACAGGCAGAGGAGCAGCTTACAAGCGCTGAAGAACAGCAGAAGCAGTACAATTGGCTTCAGGAATCTTTTGAAGGCAGCCAACCATACGACAACAGATGGCCAAAGTAAAAATGTAGGGCAATATAGAGGACTATGGAAGTTCATCGATGAGAATTGAGTAAAGAATGAATTGAAAGTAAAAGGTCTGTGCCGTCCATTCTTCTGCCTTAGCATAGAAGAATCTTTCTAGAGAGGTCACAGAGGTTGACACGCTGATTTGAAAATCTTCCAACTATATCCAGCTGCCTGTACAACAGAGCTGAAAGAGCTTTATAAAGGAATGTGACTGAAAGTTCACCGTTTCCCTGAAAAACTTTGAAATAAGATGATCAGAATTTACATCTTCACTTATAGACGCACTCTTGACATCTTGGAGAGCCATAATCATTTTTTTCTGAGAAAAACTGGTCAGGTTCTCAAAAAGAGCAAATTAAAGGGTTTGGCAAACTCTTGACTAACAAGGACAGTTTGCTGCTCATGTGTTTTTTTGGAGACATTCTGTATTTGCTGCGAGCGTTTCAGAAAAAGCTACTAGATAACTCAACCATCATGGATGTTGTTCTAGAAACAAATAGATTTATTGCAAAGCTGGAGAAGATCAATTATCTCCCACTTTTTTGGTTGCTGGGAGGTGAAATTTTACGACAATTTTGATCAAGTTGATAATATACTCTTTGGGACAATTTTGTGGCAGAAATAGCAACACAGGAATAGAAAATAGAAACTTGTTTGTATCCGAAACAAACGCTTTTCTGGCAATCATTGTAGAGGTCTTGTTGCATTTGCAGAAATTAATGGAAAAATGGCTTGATGTTGATGATCTGGCAAAGGATACAAAAGCTTACAGCCAATGAAAACTATATACCGGAAATAGACGCCCCAGTTGCACATGGCAGACCATTATTTACTTAGAGATTTTAATATTATTTAAAATTATTCCTCTCTGCTGATGACACAAATATGTGCTTTGAATCACAAACACTTGAAAAGCTTACTAGGAAGGTTAACAAAAAACTAAAATATGTCAATCAACTCTGTAAGACAAAGTAAAACCAACTTTATATTTTTTATTCTTCCTCAACTTTGCAAGAAATTAAAGTCGAAATAAGCACATTTCCAAGGTAAAATCCAATAAAATACAAACACATCAAATTTTCTATGAAGGTACATGAGGAAAGAAAGGCATTGACAGAGAGGGTTCGAGGGCCCAGTCAAAAAGGATTTGAAAAAACACACTGACTGGTTTGAGAGGCAGTAGAGCAAACTCTTGACAAAAACATTAATTGTTTCATTCAAAAAGGCCAGGGTAGTCATGTTGGCATGATTAGACAGCATTCGGACCTTTGAATGCTAAGGCAAAGAAACTTTGGATTGGATAAAGCATCTGCATGCAGAGAAGAAATTATTTTCAGGCTGGTTTTATGGGTTCAAAGAAGTTTGCAATAAGCAATGAATAACTTCTCCAGACCGAATTTTTAATTTTGATGAATCAAGGTCCCTCCAGCAATTAAAGTTTTTTATAAATGATGAAGCATGCTCTCCACCTCACCAGTCCCACAAAGACCTCAATTATGATGCTTTGGTGTATTTTTGCCAGTGGCTTAGTGCTTCCTCAAGCAGTTTATTTTCTAGAAAAATCTTCATCTCCGGAGTATTGTATTGGCTTACTAAAGAATGTCTATGTTTGATTTCAAGAAAAAGGTTGCATGGAAACATATAATTTTCATGCTTGGATAAAAAATCATTTCGTTCACCAAATCCCACCAAAACATCCTGACCTTTTATAAATTGTTGGCCATCCTTCCCACATTGACTACAACACTCCTGTTTTCTGCAAAGAAAATAATATCCTTTTTTATGGATTACATGCAGCCAGCAGATAGTAGATGTTTTTAATGTGTCAAAGGGAGAGTGGCAAAAGTCATGCACACAGTTCTCCATGCAAAATCCTAATGTTGTTGTTTCGAAACGCACATTTGATATGTTTTTATGGAAGTGTTTGATAAAAGTGCAAGTTGGATGAGAGAGAGTGCAGTGGATGTTCCAGCCAGACTTAAGAAAAAAAGCGTTGGTGCAATGCTGGAGTGAAGGAGTTTGGGAAAGAGAAATACCCCAGCTTCAATACCTATTTCATGGAAACATACATGGATTCTCGAGAGCAATGGGCTTCTTGTTTTAGGATTAGGGCAGAGGTGAATACTAATATGGTGACTGAAGCGGGGGTATCCGCATCAAAACCAGGGGTAAACTTGATCATCTGATGACTGTCATTGAGTCATCTGATAACCACTCTGCATTGCAAGCATGCATTTCAAATTTGAATTCTGCAATAACAGTCACAGAAAGTCTTTCCAGTCTCTCATGCGAAATCGATAACTTTGAAATACAACAAGTATCCATCAAATAAAAAATTTGAAGTTCAACCTCGATTCCAATCAACCAAAAAGAAACCTGCGAAAAAGCCGAAAGCAATACAGAAGCCAACACTAATGGAAGAAAAGAAGATGAAAAAAAGTTTACGTCAATAGACACCTAAAACTTGCGCCTTCTGCTTGAATATGGCAGGCAAGGAACACCAATGTTAAGTAGGTCCAATGTCCAAAGTGTGAGGTCTGGCAAAGGGTGCAGTTGATGCGAAAACATACGAGTGCTCTCTGTGCACCAGAAGCTGAATTGAAACGAACATTAGCAAATTTGACAGGAAGATTTCCTCTTGCTAATTTGGACCACAGGAGGATACCACCAAAACAAAATGAAGATAATTGATGATAATCCATAACACTAACCAACATTACTTTTCAGCCCCAAGTATGAGATTTGTTGTGTCAAAGTTAGCTATTAGGTAACCAGTAACCTAATGTTTCTTTTAACCTTTGCAGATAATGTAAATATTTCAGTTCCGTTTTACTTTATTTATGGGAATTATGTCGTAGATTTAATATTTCTTATGATCATGAAGGCCTTTAGAAATTACAGCTGTTTTGGCACTTTATTGTCTCGCAAGGTGCTTACGATAACGACCAAGGGGGGGGGGGGGGGGGGGGGTGGTGGTAAAGGAATATCCCCATTACGAGTAATTCAGAGTTTTGAAAATATGAAATGTTTCCACTAACTTTATCCTATCTGGTTTTTTGATTACATTGTCAATTCTTTTAGGTCTCCAAAAAAATTAAGAAACTCCAGTACTCAGAAATTTCAGCAGAAGAAGAAACTATTTATTTTAATGAAGGAGCCCTTTAGTAAAATTTTACTTTGTTTTCACCTGTTTCTTGTATCATATTACTCTTGACTAGAGGTACTGCATCATATTATTATGTCCAAACAATGGAAAGGTTAAAAAACTTTGTTTCTAAACATTTATGAGGACACAGGAAGTAGACAAGAATATTGTTTTGAAGTCTTTAAGAACCCATAAGAAATTCATGTGTACACCATACCCAATATCTAAAATCCTAAGTATCTAAAAACAATCAGTACTGGCATTTAGTTTCTTGAAGACATACATACGTGTACACAATATATAAAAGAATATTCAGATTCATAATAATCCATTTTCTAACAATATTATAATATTGCTCAACCTCCGCCCCCCCTCCCCCCTCCTTTTTTTTAATTGTTAGGCAGTTGCCTGTTTTGCTGTGTTCACAACAGGGAATTTCAGAACTGACATATGGTGGTTTTTCTTAAAGAGCAGGCAATGTTCCTTTAAAAACATTCAGATTTGAAAAAAATTAGAATACTTTTTAAATATAATAAGGTTCAAAACGAAAATTCCCTAAGAATATCGATGCTGGAAATAAGGTATAGTATTCTTATAAAAATAGAGTGCCAACCGATCACAACCAGCTGTTGTGGATACTTCGCCAAGAATTAGGGTTGAAGCTATTGTTTCATTGCATTGTCAGTATTCATCGTTTTTGTGCATGAAGAATTGCGTACAAAATATAGCAAAAAGCATTCTTTAAAAGGCTGTTTAGGCCCTAGTGGTTTTTGGTGGACAATGGTGCATATAGCTAAGCCTTGGGTGCATTCCATGTAAACCTCAGCCCAAATGTACGCCAAGGACAAGCCTGGTGTACTCCATGGTCCTTATGCAATTATTAGTTCTGTCAGACGAAAAGAGTCAGTATACATTTGTAATTTACCACTAAAGGATTGTTTGCAATTATTACAGCCCCTGCCCCCACAACCATAACTCTCGGCAATTTTCTAATACACTTGGATGATGCAGAAGTACACACAAACAATTACAGAAGAGCTTTGCGCCGTGCCGCGCCGTGCCGCTCGCCATTTCACTGAACACCACATGCTGCAGATGCTTATCTCGTGCCACACCAGATGACATAACTCCATCCCAAAGATCTTCGAGAATGCACCCTGGAGCTGAGCCTGTCTTTTATCCTTGAAACCCTGAAATAAACAACTTATGGATGCCTCCTGGCCTAAATTGTTTGTGATTCCACTACAAACAAAGGATTTCCAACACTCAAACAAACTTGCGTCTCAATGATTTCAATGATTTGCAATCTCAATGATTTCAGTGATCAATGACTATGTCAATGATTTCCATAACAATGGCTGAACTTAAGAGCCTCGATTCAGGGAGGTATTAGCCTCTCATTATGCTTGGGATGTGTACTGCAGCTAATGGCGAGTCTCCTCTCTCATAAATTCATTCTCCTCGATCTCTTTTTTTTCAACTCCAGTTCCTCTCTTTTTATCTCTGCCTCTTCTCGCATTTTCTTCTCTAGAATTGCGAAGGTGTAATTGCCATTAGACATCGTGTCTCTAACTTTTTTGTTTACCATCCCATGATTCATCTGTTCTTTGTTTTCAGGTCTCTCCCAATGTTTCCAATGACTGCTGTCTTCATTCTTTTGCCTTTTTCGCATCTTCTACTCTTTTATCTACTTTTCCCTTCTCTGCTGCTTGTTGATCAATAGTAGCTGATGCAAACACTTTAAGAAGCTCATCTAACAAAATTTCAATTTCCGTTTTTTCTGACGAAATACCACTAGCTCTTTCTTCTTCCCCGTTTACCGCCTTTTCTCGATTAGGGTGTTAAAGTGCTCCCTAACCGATCGTGCTGTGCATTCAAAGTTGGGAGACTCAATCCTATTCAGCTGATCAGCTATCTACTGATCTTTTAACTCCTCTTTCCATACTCCCTGGAGTCATCTGAATTTCAGAAGCGTTTACATCTTGCAACATCAAAATGTCATGCTCCTTTGCCGATTTAAATCTTTTACAAAAAATGCAACTATTTTCTAGGGCAGTAAAGTAAATAACAATTTTTTGGCAAAAATCTAGCTTTAGAGAAGAACAAATGCCCCCCCCCCTCCATTTTTGATAAACAAAAATGTTTATAAATCAGTATTCAAGCTAAAGGTCATTTAAACTGCAGTGATAGTAAAAAGGCATTTTAAATCTTTCAATTATTTTTTGTATGATTGTTGGAGACGAATAATTCGTTTGTTGTCAACATGATTAAAAGGGGCCAAGTTTACAAAATCCAACATTATTTTGTTGCTAGAAATCCCTACATCCTTTGAATCTAGACCTAGTTGAAAATATGGCTTTAGTAAAATTCATTTTTGTTTTGAAATGTAAAGATTGATAGCAAAGAAAGTGATATGCCCCTTACGGCTTGATGAAAGGCAAAGAGTTCCAAAAACTTGAAGAATCAAACTTTTTCGTCTTCACAACAGTTGATATGCTTGCCATTTTTGACGAAAAGTTGGAGAAAAACTGAACACACGAAAAATAACCATACAAATTTTCTAAAGTTTTGCCAGAACACTAACCAGGGGGATCTAATGTTGTAGGAACAATAGGGAAGGATGAGAACGGAGAGGCCTCCTCGCGAAAAAATGCCAAATATGCAAATGCGTAGGAGTCCCTTTAAAAACAATAAGGCGATGAGGCACTAAGGTTATTGTTACCATTATTGGTTTGTCTGCATAAAGTCCCTATTGATTTGGATTTCCTTTGGATTTTGTGATGTTGTCAGTCCTGTTGATAAGAAAACCAGTTTCTTTAAATTTGATAAACAGGCACAGATCATATTTGTCTTCATCTGAAACCTACTTCCCAAATTTATGCAGTAGTTTTGATCTTAGCTTTATTTTCATTACTGAAACTACAGCCTGGGGAATTCAGGTCTCCTGATTCCATCAGAGAGCAAGTAAACAGAACAAAACAAATCTGGGAATACCACTGCTACTTTATTAATTACTCTGTCACATTGCCACAGAGTATTGAGATCAATAATCAGTTTTTCGAAATTGTGGGTCAATTGTGGTCGGGTGGCTTGAATGATGACATCACTTTTGAATTAGTTTTCAGCTTATTTTCAATAAAAAACTCTTTCCTACTGTTTGTTGGCGAAAACCATAATTGCATCAATGTTTTCGTAATCCCTAAAAGGCATCCATGCATGTAGTCAGGCACCACCATTTTTGAGTAATCAAATCAAGACAAAAAACCTAAGGCTAATGGTCCAATTGTTTCATCTGGTATCCCTTTTCGAATACTAAATCATTTAGGTAAGGTGTGTCTCCATTGCATGCTTTTTCTTTTTGCAAAATCACTTTCTCCCACATACCCTTTGTTGAAGAATGGAGGCAAGCTGGCTCTTGACATCCCCAATCAGAAAACTTAATCGAGCCAATCTTGCAGGATGTGTTTGCTGATTTCTCCTACCTTTGTAGCGCAAGCCATTGCACTCTTCTGTGGTACATTCAAAGATATCCTTACTTTCAGGAAATGTGTTTCCATAAATCTCACAGTGGTGAAAAATGTTCACTTTGATAAGTTCTCCAATCCCAGTAATTTCTCCAAGTGACAGTCTTGATAAAGTCTCTGGGCAAAGTGCATTGATCAGCTTAAGCAAGTCTTCTGTTGCAGAGCAAGTTAATCTATAAGTTAATCTATGTCTCATGGAATATGATGCAATGGCCACAGATTGTAGTTGGCTTGTTTCTTGGTTTGTTTTTTCCTCTGAAACACTGCCCATAGATAACTCATCATCACTTTCATCTGCAGTGCAGGAAAGAGAGGTAGAGGAGTCATCTGATCCGGACGTTTCTGTTAAACATGGATCGTCTTCCTGATCACAAAAAACAACTGGCAGCATGTGATCGCTTGTCTTGCCAACATGCTCAGGGAATTCTTGAAGTGATTTTTCATCTTCTTCTACTGGAATTAACCTTGAAGCCAACTTTGCTCTTATTCTCCACTGAGTTGTCTTCGGCACTGGAATCCTTTCATCAACTTCATACAACTTTCGTTGTTTCTTTATTGGACCTGATCATGAAGAAGATAAATTAATCAATGACTTGACATGCATTATTTTAATGTTACCTAAACAAGTTGGTGAAGGGCACTGTAAGTTCAAAATTTTATCTACAAAGTTGAATTTACAACTACAATCCTGGACAAAAGGTTATTAGACAATTACTTTTTAAGTGATTTTCTGCGTAATTGCCCTCAAACCAGTGGCATGCCCCACCCCCCAATGTCAATGTTGGTGGTAGGTAATGGCAGTTGATTGTGGAAGCCAGAAATCCTAAAAAATCAACATCAACATTGATATTGGGGGCAGGGGGTTGGGTGCTTTTGCAATAACTGATTATAACAGCAAATGTCTCCTAACTTTTGTCCAGGATTGTAGCAATCAACAAAACTTGTTTTTTATTGAAAAATACTATGTATACAATTTGAACAATTTTTCTCTCTTGGACTTCATTGCTAATTTTTCTTTACGCTCGCGGCACTGATTGGTCAACTATACCGGTCTTATGCTTGCGTTTTTCTGATTGGCCTATTTCGATCCACAACTGGGTATATATTTTTCAATCGTGTTTTTTCGGAACCTATTCTGACGTTTTATGCTCTGAGGAGTGTCAGACGAAAAAGCTTTAAGTATGTTGTAAAATGTTTGCTTTTTTCAAAGCCATTTTCATGTATACAATTGTTATATCTGTGACTACTATAAATATAAGTAGAGTTATAAATAAAAGATTATACAACTTTCAATATGGGGCATAGCTGACAAAGGGATATGAATACAGAGTCTCTTCTATTACAGAAACAACTTCAAGTCTTTGATTTCAACAAAATTGAGCAATTTCAATATAAACAACTTACTTTGTCACGAATGTCATAAAGATGTTGATGGATTCTCTGCTTTGAAGCCCTTTTAATGTGAAAAATAAGGCACTGGAATATTTCCTTTCCGTTGAAACATTTATTTATGAAAAAGTTGTCTTTCTTTGCCATCAACCTTCTTGCAAAAAATTAAATTTACAAACGATCTTTAATTCACTTGGATTAATGACCTGTCACTGCGCAAGTCTAGTTAAAATATTGGAAATCCTTTATCTAAACCAGTGTTATTTATGGTGTGAAAAAGATAAAGAACTGTTGTCTTATAATTGAAGGTTTTTCAGTAAACAATTGCTTAGTTTACCGTCTCATTGACAAACGCTGCAGTTACAATGCAGTCAAAATCAACAGACTATTAGCACGTCCCTTGATATGATTTATTGACAAAGGAGTTTCAACTGGCACCAAAACGTCACAAATACCTTTGTGCAACAAATCGTTATTCACACGTATTGTTAAGGGCTGCATTTACAATGCAATCAAACTTTATTGATTTAGTAATTTCACACCATTTACAAACAAACCATCAATAATTCGATGGATATAATTGCTTTACAAAAGGGTTCCAACAGGCACCAAAAATGTTACAGTATGATGTACATTCTAAAAAAGAAAAAAAAACTATTCTTGCATTTTCCTATTCGAGTGTAACTTTAAGAAATAACCACAGTTTACCATTTTTCATCTAAGAACAGGATTTAGGTAAGATACATTTTTTAAGTCTTGTGGTAAGATGTAATGTACCTGCTTTGGGGTAACTTCCGAAATAAACCTGCCACCTTCTATTTTTATAAGCTTTTTGAAAATGGTAAACCGTGATGGTAAACCAAGGCCAAGAGCATTTCTGCAATCCAATTCAACTCTATCACTTTTAATTCTGTGAGCAATGGACGTCATCCAGAACTTCAACCAACAATACTAATAAGTCAGTTATAAAGGTCTTTTTGAAAATTTTTGCTGATAAGCAATAAGCAATAAATTCAGAAGAACTGCTAACAATTTTAAAGTTGTGGTTCAAATTTCATGATACACAAGTTTCATGAAACTTTCATAAAAAAACACTTTTAAGTTTGTTCGAATTAGTATGTAGTTCTATATCAATCATTTATGGCTAGAGTGCTCAAACGATCATGCATGCTTCGAATAGTTCTATCTATAACAGTTACATCAAAGTCACTAAATGCCAGCAAAACTTTTCTTTTAAAAGTCTGAAAGTCCTTTTTCACGATTTTTCCTCTTAATGTCTCCTGTTGCAAATTACAGTTTTTAATATTAAATTAATTTCCATTAGGATTCAAGTCCGCGATCTTGGTGTTATCTCAACAAGTTGATCACCCACTTTTTCTAAACCATCTCTGGCAAATCTGCTCCTTTGACTTGGGTCATTGTCCATAAAGAGCAAAAGTTTTTTTATCGCTGCACATTCTCTGAGAGTGCTGTCCAATGTCTCATGCACAAACTTTGCCAACCACCAGGATTTCATCTTATCTTACTCCTCCGCAACAACAACCCCTGCAGAATAGGAAACACCTACCAAAATATGTAGCGTATGCCCTCCAGGAAACTTCTTCCAACCTTTACTTGCAAACACAAGGCCCTCTTTTTTGTTCTCTACACCTGTCTGCTTTGGCACAAAGCATGGTTATACGGATTTTGTTTGTGATGGAATAAAATCCCATCTAGATACATCAGAACATCATTTTTCCAAAAACTTCTGCTATGCTTCTTCAAAGCATCCCTGGCATACGATACTCTCTTCCTCCAATCCCTCGCAGACAGTATACCTTTCTTTCTAGAATTTAGAAACCTATAACCAGCATCCTGTAGAGCTCTTACCAGATCCTGTGGCTAACTTGTGTGATCTGGCATTCCTTTGCTACATTCATCACTCTGATGTTTCCATTTTTTTCTTGCATCTTCTTGAAAGTCCTAACAAACCTTTCCTTGTCTCTTTTGCTCATCAGTGGCTTTTGCTCATCAGTGGTGGTCTACCTGACATCTTCATTGGCGTGCTGGGGTTGAGGTCGCAGGGGGGGGGAAGGGTCAGAATGCCGCCCCTCTGCAAACTGGAATTTTAGCTAATTTTACGTATTATCGTTTTTGCAGTAAACAAGTTTGGACGTCTATAAGAACAGATGCTTAATTATAACAGGTCCATAGTCACATTAGAATCGTCGAATCTATAAGAATAATTGACTTCAGAACTCAAAAAATATCCTTGCAAAAGCGAATAGATATATTTGAAGTTTAATGCATTCTTTATGTCTATGTTTGAAAATAAAAGATGCAATGCAAAAAAAAACAAATACGTTGTGTCATTGTGTCAATCTTTACGTAAGTCAAGACACACCAACAAAAATATTCTTTCTCGATTGTATAATAAACTTTGATAGTGACTTGAAGATGAATTAACAGCGTTCATACCAATAGAGATATTTAAATCAAGTAAAGCAAGTCTAAAATTTCATGCTAAAAGAGCTTTTGTAATTTCGGGAGAACTTCGTCCCAAACTGTCAATGACCCAGTCTTTGTCTATAGAGAGACAAATTCTTCTTTCAAACGCCATCATCAAAAAGCCCTCGAAGCGATATTGGACCATTGTTGAGCGAATATGTGACTTTTTCCTCTTTAAGTGTGGAGAAAGAACGCTCAGCAGTTGAAGAACTTATAGGAACGCGAGTTTTTGTTCAGTGGCGTTACCATATCATACTTGTGTCTCTGTGACGACCCTCCGTTGATGCGTAGATCTTTGATGTAGTCTTATTTAACGTGCAGAGAACACGGAGTCAGAGGAGCTTCAGTAAGACGCGTGTTGACTTTAACTGGGGTTATTGTAACTAAATTAAATGAATCTATCTACATACATATATACTAAACTGATTGTTGTAAATATAATTGAATGACGCCAGGAAAACAATGCATAGGTTGGGAGAGGCAAGGTGACGACAGATGATCAAAGGAGAGGTAATGTCATGTGGGAACAGCAGTGTTTTGATGCTGATGATCGTCATGGTGATTAATGATGATGATGTCGTAATTGCCTGTTGGGAAATGTCTTTCGTGTTATGTGGAATGTGTTGAATAGGCAGAAACGAGTGTATGGCGTAGGATGGAAAATAGGCCTAGGCAGGGTCACTACAAACTCATCGGAATGGCAACTGCAATTGCGTAAGCATGTATTAAGGTGGGATATGCATCCATGAGATGGTATGTGGTATGGCAAAGCAGCTGTAAGGCATCAGAAAAGAATGGCAGCTTGCTACATTCTTCACTTGGCTTTCTGTTTGTCGCTCCTGATTCGCCATTATTTTCAAAATTATCATCCTGAACCTGATCTATCATTTTGTTGTCTCCCATCCTATCATCATAATCATCGCTTAGGTCACCAATATCTTGGCTAGACTTCTTGAAATAGTTGTACCCTGAATTTCGGGAATGCTGCAGCAAAACTCAAGAGCTCGGAAGCACACCAATCGGCATCTATATCAAACTTTGTACAAAAATCATTTAGTTTTATCTTGATATCTTGAACTGTTGTATTGTGATCGTTGAGAAGCGAGTCAAAGTTTATTTGAGAGGTGGTATGAGGCAAGGAGATTTTTGTTAAACTTAAAGGTATTATGAATCGAAAATTTTCCCCTTGTTTCTAGACAAATTCGATATCGCTAATTCCGAAAATGCAACTAAAAATTGCATTGGGCAAAAAATATTTTGGTTTTAACTATTTGAATTTAGCGCCTACGGTTCCAAAATTTGTACACAGGATCTGGAACGAGTGTATTTTTGTGACGTAAAGTGTTTGACACATTTTTGCCAGATGCGTGCGGCCTAAGTGGAATACAGTGTGTTTGTGACAATGTCTTCTAGTTCAAGCAGCGACGCGAGTATAACTGAATCAAATAATGCCACTTTAAATGAATCTAGCGACGAAGAAGGATTTGCAAAGGTTTATGGCGCTGTTTTCATGCCATATCAGTACAAGCCTTTGGCCTCAGACAATAGCGATGAATCTGAAGGAGCTGATGATCAGGGGACTGATCAGGCCGAGGACGAAGATAGCATTAGGCCGTCGCAACTTTGTGATCGTTTTGAAAGGAATGTTGCTTTAAATGAATGGTAAGTTAATATTTCTATCAAACTATCATTTCAGAGCCAATTTATATTATTTTCTTTCGACAACACACATAAGGACGAGAATAGCTTCGGATCGGAAAACGAGTGTCAAAAGCACTTGTTTTACTATCGCCCACCGACTGCGATCTCTCTAATTTGAAAAGTACAGACCCCTTTACGCATTTCACGTACTAGTTGTTAGTAAGTTAGTAGTGCTTCTTACAGCAGTATCTTGCAGTAGTAATGATATAACAAGGTAGGCTGATAAGCAGTACTGGATTGCCAATCGTATGTATATTTTCAAAGTTTACAAAGTAGGGTGCATTCTATGTCAACTGTACGCCGAAGGTCCACCGGGGCATTTGTTTAGGTACGCCGAAAATATAAAGGCAGTTAGTAAAACAACAAACATTGTTGCGCCAGGCATAGACAACTGATTATTAGAGAAAACTGTGGTGTAGGAGTCGTTAACTATGTACATGGCTTCATGTTTAGCATGCCAATTAACGAAACTTTTTAGTACGCAAACAATTTTTTTATTGGTTTGCACGCTGAACGCCGAATAAAAACCTGACTGTACGCCGAAAATCTTTGGGCACTTAGGAATGCACTTAAGAATGCACCCTGGCGAAGTAGGCTAGAAGAGTGTGGGCCCAAAAAAAGAAACAACTTGGACTCTTCCTGGTGTTTCTTATTTTCAGGTTTTTATTGTAATTTAGCATTATTTACAAGCTACATAACAGAATTTGGAAATGCAATGTTTATTATTCTCTTTCTATTTTTGATAAGTAATCATCATAGCATTTTCATTAAGGTGCTTGCAACAAATGCAGTGTTGGAAGACTAGTTAGTGCTAGGGAGTATCGTTGTTGCCGAAAGGTCCATGCAGCCTATGGAAAAGTGGTTTTTGATGGACTTTCCGACAGTCTTAGCTGCATTACAGAACACGAAGACTTCTGTAATGCAGCTAAGAACTTAAAAAAGAAGTGTTAAAAATTGTTGGTCCACTTTTAAAGCAAAAAAATGGAAAGCCATATAAAAAACATGCTGGTGTATCTGAGAATGAGTAAGTATTTTTAAATTTATAGGGTTAAAGTTTGTTGAAGCAAGACTTAGCTATTCAAAATCTTTTCATCCTACACATTTTATTTTTAAAGGACAACTGATTATTTCACATTATATAATCAAATTTTAAAAAATTAAATTTTAAAAAATTACCAGAAAAAACTACTCAAAACTAGTTGAAAGACATTTTGCTGTCTGCTTAGTAACAAAGTGCACTTTTTGCAGATATCTGCGTGCAGTTGCTTACAGAAATCTGGTGAGGTGGATCTTTGGATACCTTGGTTGGGACACAGCAAGACCAATAACTGCATGTATATACAATTTTATTAGGGAAAAATATAACACCAACAATAAAAAAACTGGCTACAAAGATTCTGCCCAAAGAGAATAACTCCCTTTGTATCCAGCACTTTTTATGGTTGGTCACACCTATTTTTAAAGAAACCTTTGCTTGATGTTTTTCAAAATAATTGCTTGAAAACTTGTAGAAAATATAAATTTTTTGTATGATTATTAACAGGTAATTTCCACTGAATTGTTACAAACAAAAATATTCTTTATATTTTTTGCTGTATTCTAGAATCTCTTTACATCCTTTTAACAAAGGAGGTTATTGCCTGGTTTCTTTTAAAATTCTGTTAATGTTCTGAATAAAATATATATGTTTATGTATTGAAAATTGATGTAACATTATGCCTATATGTAATAGTTTGTAATCAGTGCTTATATAATATGTTACTCTTAGCATGTTCATTTTCAAAATTTAAATATGTAATGTGAACATGGATTAATATGAATTAGTACTTTATTTCAAAAATTAACATAATAATTGTTTGTATATATATATATTTAGACTGAATTATTTGCTGACACACTTTTGCTTAGAGTGCCCAAGCATAGTTTCTCCACATGTTCTACAGTGACCAGTTTTTCTGGTTTTCTTCTTCTCTGTTCCTCTGGCCTTTTTTGCCTCCTGCTCCATCATGGTCTTTTGCTGTTGAGCTAAAAAAGTGATAATACTATTGTCATGAAGTTAGTTTTTATATTTTTTATAATTTGCATAACTTTTTCATGAAATTCAAGGGACACCCTTAATCTTTTTGGCAAAACATTAATCAAATTTCCGAATACAGAAGAAGCTTGCATCACTTACCCCAATAGTTATTATATAATTGGGCTTATAAGCAAAGTACAAATAATTAGCAAAAGTATTTGATGAAGAAACTATCAAAATAACATTACCTGGTGGATTCAATGTTGTAATCACAAAGGATCTTTTCCTGAACTTCTCCTTTGCCTCTTCCTTCGAAATACGACTCTCGAATTGAGAGTTCAGTGGCTTAGGTGCAATTGAGGTATGTTGTGCCAAGATAGTGGTCATTTCTTCTTTTGAAATTGAAACCAAGATCTGGCGAAGGGTTCTGACGTAGTCTTGAAGTAAATGAAATAAGTGTTATGGTAAATATCAAACAAAATATATAAATTTGTAGTATCTAAAACCTGATTTTTTCGAAGTGCCTTTCATTTTCTCAGTATCTAAGGTCAAAGATTAAACCTTATTAAAACTTACCATATGTAGGTGGAACAGGGACTGGTTTAACAACTTCTTCTCCAAGCTTGTATTTGGGAAACGAAACTCCCAGTATGTCCTGCCCATCATCAGTTTTCATGGTCTCTCTTGACAGATTCTCATTAAAATGACAAATTTCGAGTATGTGTCTAAGCAAATAAAGAGAAAAAATTTCAGAAATGGAATGGATAAGAGCTGTGATTGAATGTTTTATATTATTCAGCAATGCAACATTTATTGAAAAAAACATTAGTTTCCATATGTTGTCAGCTTTATGTCTAGCAATCACTTTTACCTGCCTAACAACTCTTAATCACTCAAGTAACAAATAAAATTAGAATGATAGTCCCAAAAATTATCTATTAGCTGCACCATCTCTAATTTTAAATGTAAATACCTGCATTTGGTTCCAAGCCAATGGTAATGAATCATTTTAGGGTGCCAATGATTGAGTGTGGCATGAAAGGCTTCCAAACAACTTGTTTGAGCATCACTTGAAATACTTCTTATATCATTTAGAAGTCTAGTGTCAAGCAGTATAGGTTTCAATTTGTCAAATGCAGTAGTTCCTGAAATAAGAAAAGCAAACAATACCTTTAAGAACGTTTTCAGATTTTTAATTCTTGTGCAGAAACTTTTACTTGTATTATTGCATATAAACATATTGTTAAATATTGTATATAAACAATATTTGCTAGTATAAGGATCCAACACTTGAATTCTAACTGACTAAGGGTACCATAAACCTATGTATATCTGGAGGGAGGGGTGGATCTGTGGCCTTGTTGACATGTAAAAACTATCTAACTACCAAATTAAAGTTATTTCATTGCCAGATAGTCTAAATACTTCTTGTAGGCATTATGTTTTCTCTCACATACCATTTTTAATCCATTTCCTTTTTTGATCGAATGTTTGGTGGATGCAGGTATTGAATAATGGATCCTCGTGAGTGTGTATGTCTTGTATGTGGTTAATTATCGATTTCCACTTTGCAATGATCAATTGGCTAAAACCTTGTTTTGATGATGTTGCACACCAGTATAAATGGTTACGAATGGTTGCAGTCCATTTGTTAATAATTTGGCAGTTATTTTCATTCCCAGCCTTTATTAACTTTTTTGTTAGAGTCCTGGCAATATGCCAGATATCAAAATAATGCTTAATAGCCGGATGTTCCTCTCTTAACCATTTAGCAACACCTCTGTGTCTATCTGACACAAACTGCGACACAGGAACCTCAGAATCAATGCATTTCTGGATTGACCTTTGAAGTCCAAGTAATTCCATTTGTTGGGAAGAATTTCCTTTTGTTTCGTTAGCCTGAAATTTTAAAGTACATGTAAGCTTGAAGTTTGATTGGTGTAGTGTACTTGGTTTATCTACTATAAAGAGCTTCAATTTACCTGCATTGTTTATATAGATTTTTGTTTTATTAATTGACATAACCTTGAAAAAAGAGTTAATCATAGTAATTTACCTGAACAAGTTCAAAGTCAACAATCTTTTTCAAATTCGTGCAGAAAATTGTGTAAGCACCATATTTTGCTGAGTGCCCCATTGAATCAAAACGTGCATCACCACAAATTGTCACTTCCTTTTTGCATTTCATCTCTTCTGTCAAGAGCGTTTTGTAATTTGCCCAATGATGTAGGACAGAAGGAAACAGAAATTCGCGCTGATGCAGAAAGTAGGTCCTTGCTTTGTAGGCTGCTAATCCCATATGCTTAAATAGCAGAAGGATTTTGCTTATCGAGGCACCAGCAGTTAGTATGCCAAAACTGAGCAGAACATTTCCTGCGGGATAACGTCCAAGCATGAATGGCTGTGATTGCCAAGTAAAGGACTTCTTTCCACATTGATCACAGTTTTGATTTACAGTTATCATGGTGCCATTTTTGACCAATTCAACATCAGGTTTGCCAACTTTGCACTTGAAGCAGAACATTGAAAATAGTTGCATCAGCATACTGCAAAACACAATGAACTTGGGCTCTTCTGCCACTGGAGTTTTCAGATCAAATCTAAAAAGTGATGCAGTGAAAAAGTTTAACCAGCAGAATATGAACTAATTCTGATTTCTGACAGTTTTTAACATTTTTGCTCTTTAGATCGTTCATCTATGGCTTCAATTGGTTGAGTGCATAAGAATAGGATTGATTCAGTTTGTCATTCTGGGAAAATTTGTTATGTGCTGCAAATTGACATTTTTCGTATTTTTTCTTTTGCTAATGCTTCAACAAGAACTGAGTAACTTAAAAAAGGTACAAAATATTTTTGCAAAAATAACATACTTTATGCGTTTTGATTGGATGTTTTTTCTTTCATCATTGTCATCG